CTCAGAAACCTCACTCATGGGATTTTACAATTTAACTCTTGTGCCTTGTGACATTCCATGCAGAGAAGTACCAAATCTAGCTGGAAAGGCAGGTGATGAAAATTCTGAAGTCTACCAAAATGATTTTTAGCCAGAAAATAGAAACTGTGAGTAACTTAAGAATGATGAATGTGGCAAAAGTGTAACAAACCTATGGACCTGAGCAGGTCTACCATCTGTTTTAATGGAAATGACTGTAATAAAAAGTTAGTAAAACCGTCTCAGTGATTGATCTAGCCCTTGAAAATATGGCTCATCAAAAGTAAGAAAACTTAAGAGAATGCTGAAAGACTCTTAAGGTATTGTGTGAAGCTATGCACAGGAAGCACAAGACCACCATTTCTGGAAAGTAACAGATGTTACAGACATTACACTGACAAGTGAAGGTTGACTTGTAAATTTTCAAATCTGTTTCCTTTGCCAGATATAAAGTTAATAGCAGGAGGCCCCATCAGCTACCTATATATTGCTTCTGGAACTGAGCGGAAAAGCTCATGAGGTGTAAAGGGTTACAGCTCTGTGAATGCAATATTATAATGAAACTCACATTTGAAGAAGATACCTTCTCTAAGCATACATCCTAAGAAGAAACTTGAGCATCCAGTATTAAGGACAAACTGTATCTGTCTGTAGAATGATGGAATAGAGGGAACTTTAAAAGATGCCTGAGAACTAAAGCTAGGGGAGGAGGGAGTGGTTAAGACAGCACCTCCTCTTTAGTCCATCGGTCTTCTGTTTGCCTCTCATCTTCTCCCCAACCAGGTTCATTTGCTTCTTTAGTTGAGGTTAATGAGCCGAGCTCTGATGAAACTCCAAGTGAAGACATTGATAACTTTATATTGTAATTTCGTGGGTCTCGGGGACCTCCCGGGATCTGCAGTATTAGCACAATCTCTGGCCCACCTAGAACTATTGATTCAGAAACTCTGGGTGGTAGAGCCCTGCAGTCTGTTTTAGCAAGCCTTCCAGATGATTTTGGTGCATGCTAAAGTTGTGTCCTTCTGCTCTAATTAGTCCTCACTTGGCATTTCTTTTCAGCATTTTATCGTCTTCAGCTGTATATTACATAAATGTACAGTCACAGTAATAATCTTCACTATTTTTATTTTGCTATTTTAAAAGTTCATAACTAATTTTGCCATAGTTTATATAAGAATTTGCTTTGGTGGAGTCTTTCCCTTTTTAATTACTTTAGCCCTGTGTTTACTGAATCTTTTAAGGGTATGTAGGGTAGCTCACATTTATCAGGTACTGTTTAAAGAATATTATAAAGGAAATTATAATCTCTGATGTTATTCAAGAATTTAGGGATTAGAGAAAGATTCAGGGCATGACATTTGTCAAGGATAAGGGTCTACTGTAATTTAGAAAATAGAAATAAACCTATTCAAATTGCGTAGCAGGAAGAAGCAAGATTTACTGGGCAGTTGACTTTATACATTTTGATCTAATGCATAAATTAACCCTCCCCCAATCTATTTAGCAGCTGGTTGTCATTTCCATTAGCTAAAGAGCAACTAAAATCTGTTTCAGAGCTCGCACCAGCACTTCTGGCTGAAATCCTTTTAGCCTCTCATCTCTGAGACAAAATTCCCAGATGCAGTTTAGGGCTCAGGTCTCCAGACCTCTTATGGAGTCATTTCAATCCTTCTGCTAGCTCTTGAAATGACCCTAGGCAAGTAATTTAATTCATTCTTTCTGTCACTGGAAGAAGTCAAAAGGATTTAAGGATTTATATGCAATAAGAAACATGTTTTAGAGTTTTATTAGTCTGAGCCTGACAAGTGGAGAAGGAGAAGTGAAAGTTGAGTACTTTTATTCTTTGTGGGCCATTTTGGGCTTCAGGGACATGTTAAGTTCTTCCATTAACTTTATGTAGTGATCAGACTTCCTAGTTTTTGGTGTTGTATTAGCTTGAGTTCTTCAGTCCAACATTTTGGAAACTGTTGTGATAGTTTAATGTGCCATTCTTATTTTTGTTTTGTTTTATTTTTACTATTTCAGGTTATATAGTAGACCTCCCTAATTTATACTAAAGTACTAAAAATTTTGTATATTCCTTTAGGGCAGTATAGATTATTAAAGTTTTTTATGTTCAGTAAGTAGAACTATGTAACACCAACATAATGAAATTGTTTTGTCACCCAAAACCTAGTGGCTCAAAACACCAAACATTTATTATGTCATAGTTTCAGAGTTAAGAATTGAGGGGCTTAGCTAAATGTTCTACCTCAGGGTTTGCCATGAGATGTACAGTCAGGATGTCCTGGGGTTGCTTTTCTCTGGGCTTGATAGTGCTTGAGGATCTACTTCTAAAAGGGCTTGCTGACATGGCAGTCAGTGAGGCTTCAATTTTTTTTTTGGCTTTTGGCAGAAAGTTTCTATTCCTTACCTTGGTCATTTTTTCATAGGGTTGTGTTAGTGTCCTTGGGAGATGACAACTGGCTTCCCCTGAGGGAATGATCCTATAAAGTGAAGAAGGAGCCCTATGCATTTTATGAACTAGTTCCAGAAGCCACTGTTGCTTCTTCCACATTCTGTTTGTTAGACAAAGCCACCAAGTGCAGTCTACACACAAAGGGAATGGAATAAAGCTCTACTTTTTGAAGGGAAAAAAAATTAAAGAATTTATAATTCAATATTCTATAGTAATAATTTGTAGTTTAATATTTTTAAACTCCCACAAAGATAGGTCTTAGTAGATAATATAGCAAAGTCATTCAATTGGCATCAAATTTGTACTGTTTCTGTTATTTCTAATTTCTTCTAATTAGAACTGCTTGGAGTCCATTGAAGATAAGCTGCTTGAGTTTATAGGCCTGGGTACTGGAGCAGATAGAAATGCTCAGAGAGGTAGTGTTCTGAAAATGTGCTAGGAGTCACCACTGAGCCTTAAACTGAGTTCTGATCAGTACATGCATGTGAAGAAAATATACAAAGCTGGGAAAAACTCTAGGGAAAGAGCATATGAAACAATTTGAAGCGCATACAGCAATAGCTCTTGTTCCTTCCAGCCAGAGTGGAAAACCTTATAATTTACAGGGTTTGAAGCACTCAGTAGGGTATTAGTTTTAGACTTAAGGCCACTCTTTTCCTGTTTAACAAATTTCAGGAGCAAACCTTACAAGAACCAAACTGTTCCAAATAACTGTCCTGGAACAAAGCTCTGTTATTTTTATACAAATAAAAATATATCTAGCATTCACTAAAGTACAGTGAATGGCATCCAAACAAAAATTACCAGTTATGTTAAAAATATGACCCATAATGAGGGGAAAACTCAGTGATACTAAACTGACACAAATAATACAAATGATAGAATTAAATGCCTTACCAAAGACATTTAGGCAGCTATATATATATATATATATATTCTATATATTCATGAATATAAAAGAAAGCATTAGCATGTTAAGGAGAGATATGGAGGTCACATATATGTGTTAATGAGTATGTTTATAGTACGTATATGTTTGTGGACGTATACTCAAATTGGACTTCTATAGATATCCTGGATGAAGTAGTTTAAATAGTGCCAAAGAAAAGATGAGCAAACTGATAAAACCAATAACAATGAGAGAAAGAGAGAAGAGAACATCAGCAAGCTGTGGGATAACTTCAAGTAGCTTAATTACGTATACATTTGGGATCCCTGAAGAGGCCATGTGAGATTAGAAAAAGTATTTCTGGGGAAATTAATATTTGGTGGACAACAACATAGTTAGTACCTTCCTACACTGGCCCAGCCCCAGCAAAAATACTATGATGTGTGAAGTTTTTATTTTATAAAACATTTTGATATACTAGCAGGAAGAGAAAGAAAAATTCAAACTGCTGATTTTATTTCCTAATATCTCTGCCCAAAGGTAGGTATCTTTAGTTTTGTTGCTTTTTCTGTTCCCTGTCTAATGCGTATTAGACATATATCATGACTATTAATAAAAATTAACTGTATTCTATTAATGTTAAAAATTAGCATATTTTCTCTTGAACCTATATCTGCTTCTGAGCCTTGGCAACTAGTCAAACTTACAAATATATCACTTCTGGCTTGAGTCTTATTGTAGGACACATATCCCCTAGTGATTTATTTCTGAGCTTCAGCATTAGTATTCTTTGCTATTATACAGTGTATATTCAATATCTAGAACTGGGGAAATATTTTGCTTGTTATTAACCCAGTTCCAGCACTAAGGCATGTTAATCCAAGTAGTTCTGTCATTAAGTTGATAGGACTTGCCTGAATATAATTCTGCCCTATTCTTTCCACCTGGGAGATGAAAACTCCACATCTTTCTCAGATCTGTGTCTCTAAAGTCTCAGTGCTTGTCTCTGTGCTGCTTTCCATAAATCACAAGCATTGTGGTATACCCATCCTTCATGGACTGCTGTTAGATTTATGTTTGAAGACTTATCTGGTGGCCATAGTGGAGTATTTTCCTATTAGAAAAATCTTTCATTTTTATCTCCCTTATAGTAAATATACATTGAATGTACACAGAAGTAAAAATAAAAGCAGTTAAATTCACGAGAACTGTTAATTTTCATTAAATGCTGTATATTGAATGTTATTTTCCTATCTCGGTCTGAAATATTTTCTTAGTATACTTAAGTTAATTCTAACCATCCATAAAAATTGTGAATTCATCTTTTTGTAAATGTAAAATTGTTAGTGTATAGACAAAAATAAAACTTGGATTAAAATAGGGTAGTTAAGGGAATAATCTCCTTGGCTTTTAAGGAAAAGGCTTTTTGTCATCTGATATTAAAATATACATGTGGAGTAGATACTGGCATTCTTAAAATAATTCCATTACTGCAGCTGTCATATTCTCCCAATTATAAATTAGATTATTTCCCTATAATTAATCTCTTGTCCAGTTATTTTTTGGGGGCTTTCGAATAGGAAGGAAAAATAGCTCATTTTAAAAGAATAACACATTTTCTTGTGTTTGTTTAAGGAAAACCTCACAGCACTGGTAGCTCTGAACGGATTCAGCTCTCAGGAATGTACAATGTCCGCAAAGGCAGAATGCAATTGCCAGTAAACCGATGGACCAGACGCCATGTTATCCTGTGTGGGACCTGCTTGATAGTATCATCTGTGAAAGACAGCTTGACCGGAAAGATGCATGTTCTGCCACTAATTGGTGGAAAAGTAAGTAAAACAAACACAAATACTAAAAGGTTTCCTAGCATCAGTAAGAACCTTTCTTTGAGACATTTCTGTAATAGGAGTTAGACGTTCTTTGACTCATTTAAGGTCTTAGTTTGTGTTGTGCTCTACTGGTGGGCATTGTTGGGATTAGAGTTGTGGAAAATAAAAATGCCATTGGCTCATGTGAAGCCCTGGTGATTTTAGCTTCTGTGGTATGTGCATTTTACCTACTGGAGTGAAAATGAATCAACTAGAATTTCACTGCTATATTTTAGAGTAGAGGTCTTTTCATATCTTGAGCATATTTTGAGTATACTGATTCCTAAGTCTGAGCTACTAAATGATCTACATTCAAGCCTACTGAGGGTTAAACTTTTCTAGTACTAAAGTCTTCGATTGCACTTTCTTTCCCTTAAGCCTCTGTTTGTATCATGTATAAAACAGAAAGATTTCTTGGGACAACATTAAGTACTTTTCTTTGTCAGATTTATTTTAGTGTTGGTAGATGTAACGTGACCATAATTATATGTCAGTTTTAACCTTTTTAAAATTGACAAATGTTTTATCTGTTCCAGAGGAGATGAGGAAGGTAAAACTGGATGAGAATAGTAATAAATGGTTTTGTTGTTCACTTGCTATCTAGCAAAACCATTTTTCAGGGCCGGGGATTTAGCTCAGTGGTTCCATCGCTTGCCTTGCAAGCGCAAGTACCCGAGTTTGATCCCTGGTACCAAAAAAAAAAAAAAATCATTTTTCATTAAGTTTAAACTAGTCTTTCCTCATGTGTAAGTAAGATGTATCAGTTGTTTCCCTCTCTACTGTTATTTTTTCTAATCCTAAGAAGGCCAGTTCTTGTTTATTTGAAGAGTAGATTTTGGCCAGACTAAAAACTTCATTTAGATTTCAGTCTTTCATTTTGAAATCATTGGTCCTTAACTTTTGTCTTAGTGTTGAAGAATTGGTGACTGGACCTATTACATAAGAATTTGTCCTTTGGTTGAATTACTGAAAAATTAATCATTATTGCCACTACAGGTCATTATTTTAAAGTATATATTTAATGTTTGATGTCATGTCAGCAGTCTCTCTTCTCTATGATGCTGGGTGTTTGCATAGGTGAATATAACTATTAAATATGCTCTGGGGGAAGGCTCTGTGCTGGGGACCCGAGAAATACCAAGATGGATAAGTATTCCTGCCTTTGAAGAGCTTATACTTTCATAGCAGAAGATGAAGGATGGACACAACAATAGGAGAGAAGTACTGTATGAGATTAGTGGAAGGAGAGATTTCATTTTATGTGTGTGGGGGCAGGGAATTTTGCAGTGAAAGAGGTGGCAATTAATAATAGAACTAGAAGGATGAAAAAATCTTTTGATGTCAAAGTGATGGTGAGAAATACTACTATGCTCAGAGAGTTAGAAGCAGGAAAGCACATGGAATGTTCAGATAAAGTCAGAATATCCAGTTATAATTAGCATTTCTATTTGGAGCCCAAGAGACTTGTCCTACTTCCCAGGCTTATTATTGGATAAACTTCTACCATTGAGTGAATTGAAAGTTAATAGCTTCCTCTGTTCACAAGTAGACCTTGTAAAACCTGTTTTTTTTTTTTTTTTGGTACCGGGGATCGAACCCAGGTCCTCAGCTTGCTAGGCAGGCGGTGGAACCACTGAACTAAATCCCTGGCCCTGTAAAACCTGTTTTGCACTATGCCTTTAAAAATAATTGAATACATTGAAAACTTAAGTCTTTAAAACTTGTTGACTGAATTAAGGAAAAATAACTCCCTTTTTGTAATCTGAGCTTTTGTTAATATTTGTCTATTCCTTTTTTCTGTTCTTTTCCATTGTTAAAGGAAAAACAGAGTCAATGGACAAGTTTATTTCTAATTTATACAGACAAACTAGAAATAAGGTGTGAGACTGGTCATAACCTATCTATAATTGCTGTGGTATAAAAATCAATACATTACTAGAATGTGGTCATCAGTTTATATTTTCAAATTACAAATGCTTTTGTTAAATAAATACTTTTAAAATTTGATTGTTGAAACAATATTTGTTTCATAAGTAAACATTTTTATTCATTAAGTCATGCTAGATATAATTTAATAGATTTAGAATTTAATAGATTTTTAGTAGTGTATTTCAGTGCTTTGATATTTGTTAAATTATGAAGCATGATAAATTGAATAACGGGTAAGTATAACTCAGTTTAGGAATTATAGCAGTATCAATACCATTATTTCTTCTCCTTATATTCTCTTTACATCTGTCCCATTACCTTCCTTAACTCCCAAGATATCTACTATCCTAAATTGTATAGTTATAACATTATTCATTGTTTGAAACCAGTTTTATTATGTAGCTATATTTTGTTTTTGGACTATATAAAAATGGTATCACACTGTGATCTCTGATTGATTTTTCACTCAATACTGTATTTAATAAGATTTCATGTTATGTGGCTTTTATTTCTGTACAATGTTCCACTCTCTAGAAATTCCATAATTTCTAAAGAGATTTTCCTGATGAACCTTTGGTTACTTACAGATTTTTATTGGTATGAATAGTGCTGTTGACATGTCTCCTAGTATACAAGTACTGTTACTGTGCTCAAGCAATGTCTGATAATAACGTATGATTGGACAGTCAGCATATCAGACTTAAGTTATGCCATGGTAACAAAATCCCCCAAATCTTGGTGGCTTAAATTATTTTCACTCACGTTATTTGTCCACTGTTAGTCAGTGGAGTTGAGGGGTAGAGATTTTCTCTTTTCCATGTTTCTCCAGGGACCCAGCCTAAGAGAGGCTGTCTTCTTTTGTAACTTAACATTTGTGACATGTGGCAGGGGAAGAGGTAACTGGAGTGTTGTTCACTGGCTCTTGTATATTTGGAGCCATTCCAATTCTCCCAGCCATTTATTACCCAGAACTAATGACTCCTCTCTACCTTCAACAATCCTGGGAAATGTGGAGAAGTGGGTAGCATGCTTGATGAGTAGCAGTATCTTTGGTGCAGTGACACTCTCAGCATTTACAAAGTAGAGGCTTAGTTTAGATAGTTCTGCACAATGAAGAACTATTCAATTCAAAAATTCTGTAATGACCCTCTTGAGAAATACTGTTATTGGGCATATACTTGGGAGTGCAGTTACTGGGCTCTAGGGCATATGCATATTTATCTTTACAAGATGATAACCAGTTTTTCAAAGTTGTCAAACCATTTTACACTCAACATTAGTGTATAAATGTTCTTGTTTTGGTCTTTATCATTTTATTGAAGTATTAATGATATTAAATTCCATATTTTGGTAAACTTAGTAACTGTAAATTCCCATGAGCACATTTTAATAGCAATATACATCGATTAAATCACCACCACAAACAAGAGTGAATACGTCCTTCATTCTTTTTTTTTTAAATTAAATTCTTTTATTGGTACATTGTAGGTATACAACACAATTACATTTCTCATTGGGAATTGTACCTTTACATAATGCATCTTGGTTCTT